ATAAAAAAGAATTATATCCCTCATCTGAAGAATGACCCCACAATGAGTCTTAGTACCTCTGAAGATACGTCATGAAGTCTTTGGTAGACCAGCCTTGCTGGTATCCAACAGAATATATACACAGCTTTTATCTGCATGCTGCTCCTAGAGGGATTTTTGTCCCAAGGTCATTATTAGGCATAACAAGCTAGCAGATGTATATTGAATCATGAATTTCTCTACTTTGGAAATTGTCTATGAATTAATATCAAAGTTTAGCCCCAAAACATCAGACCATGAGTTCTGAAACTCAATAAATCTCTTGTTTGCGTGATAACATAATTTCTCAGATATCAGTATCTCCATCAGGGTCAGAATCAAAGTCATATAATGCAGGTGAGTAGGTTTTGAAAAGCAAGGAAATTTTTCACTTTCTTTTCCTCATAATCTGGAAGAGCATATGATGAAAAGATGCAACTGGTAATATAAAATTAATTTTAAGAAGTTATAATGTGTAATTTTAATTCACAAGTGCACATATTATTTTAGTAAAGTGGAAATTTTATTGACTGATAATTGCCTTTTCCAGTAGTTTGGTGAACTGACTAGAAAACACCCAGACTATTTCCTGTTTGGGAAGGACTGGTATTAAATGCATACACCATGTGTGTGTTGACATTTTATTAAAATAGAGCAAACAGCCCCATTGTAGTGGCACATGCCTGTAGTCTCAGTTACTCAGAGATGGTGAGGCAGGAGAATCACTTGAGCCAACTAGTTCAAGGCCAGCCTCAGCAACACAATAAGACCCAGATTCAAAGTAAAAAAATGAGTAAGAAACCATAAAAACTGACACATTAGAAGGAAGCATAAGCCATTACGAAGTGGACACATCCACATAACTGCCACTGAGTCTATGGAATGGACTCTGAACAGCATTGTACTTCTCAGCAACTAAATCTTTGGTTATCCTGAGGGATTTGTCTAACTACACCTCTTTAACTTGTTTTCCAAGCACTTTTGAAATACCTGTGAATGTGTGAGGTAAATGTGAAATGCATCAATCTTAGAAATATAGGAACAAAAGTTCTGTGAGATATTAATATATTATTATAGAGATATTAATATGTATTAACACAGGTACAGATAAGCACCTGTGAAGTTGAGAAAGGAGACATGACTGTCCCAGGTGCAGTTATTTTGTGGAGCGAGTTATCTAGAGGAGTGCTGGCTCAGGTGGGGAAAATGGAAAAAAGGAAGACTTTAGTGCAGAGATATGAGGGAATTAAAAGGGAATGGAAATGAAAATTTCATAAGTGAATTCTGGTCTGCATTTGAAGACATTCATAACTTCAGAACATTCTTTGATCTCTTTACTATTTGTTTGATTGTATGATTTCAATGCAAAGATAAAATTTTAAGGGACCTTCTGAGGTAAAAACCTACCTAGCAATCAGCATATTGAAAGAAACAGTCTTCACCTACATTAGCACTGGTGGGTGGAACATTTTCCTCCTCTCTCTATCTTGGTGCCAAACAGCATAAGACTGAGTAACCTTGCGTACTTTTTTTCAGCCACTTTAATGTCTCAAAAATTTGCTCAACATTTTCAAAGCCTTCTATTGATGGGGGAAATAAAGTCCAGATGAATCAATAGGTTTTTAATTTCTCATATTTAAGAACCTTATGCATAGGAAGAAGCTGAATTAAATGAGATGTTGGAAGGCTCACTGTAGTCTTGTATGGTTAAAAATTCTATCCAGGTTTCTCATCTGTCAAAATACCACAATTAGCTCCAACTAATTGTAAAAGAGAAATATTTGTTTACCAGTATGCCAATGGAGAGATTGAGATAAGGAAAATGAGCAAGTTAATCTAAATGGACCTAAATTAGCTAATGAAATGTATTAAGTTATTTATTCTACATTTACCTATTATTACTTTGTAATGCACAAATGGAAGTTTTAGTAGGCTTATAGCAATGTTACAGCTTACTTATTTTCTCCTTTTTAAATTAACTTACATGTGTATACATTGTTTGTGCCTCCCCACCCCCACCCCCCCACCCCCCCCCCCCCCACCCCCGGCTTCTGGGCAGAACCTGTTCTGCCTTCTTCTTCTCTGATTTTGTTGAAGAAGAAACATAAGAGATAATAAGAGAGATATCGTTTTTGCTAGTTTGGGATAAAGATAGCTATACAGAGAAATTCCTAGCGTTGCTTCCTTGAATTTGTGTATTACAGCCCATACTGGTTCATCTCTACCAGACCTCTTCACTACTTCCTAGTCCCCTTCCTATAGTGGCCTCTGTCAATTTCAGATTACTTTATTTGCTCCTCAACAGGGAACACATCAACCACATTCAAGTTTTAGGTTTCCTTTCCTTTCCTTTCCCTATTTCTCCTGTGTGTGTTCTCCCTTTAGTGTGTGATGCATTTCCGATAATATTACTGCATTTGTTTTGGGTCTATAATCTGCATATGAGGGAGAACATGAGATTTTTGGCCTTCTGAGCATGTCTGGGATTGCAGGGGTCTGGGGTTATGTGTACTTGGGGCAGTAGGCTAGTCAGCAGGTGGAGAGTGTGTAGGAGGGAGGGGTAGCATGGTGACAAGTTGGGAGAGGATGAAGAGGGAGGTGAAGACAGTGGTAAGAGTGACTGAAAAGGGGCAATAAGAGTAGTTGGGAGGGAGAAAAATGGATTGTAGTTCAGGAAAAGGAAGGAGAGTGAAGAGAGTGAGAATAGGGATAAGAGAATAGTGATGATAGAGTTAATAGTACAGGAATAAAAAAAGAAAAAGAAAGAAAGAAAAAAGAAACATGATTAAAAAAAACCCACCAGGTTTAGGAACTTCAGAAAATTCAGTCTATTAATAAAAGTTCTGGAGTTATTCCTTAGGTGTCCAATAATGGTATTGGTGTTCAAGTGGAAGCTCTGATGTGGTCTCACCAGGTGACTGGCTTGTGAATGGTACTTGGACTGTCTATTCACAACGTTAGTTGGAGTTGTGAGGTGAGGTAAGATTGCCAGCTCATGCAGGGTGGTCAGAACTGTTTTCAGCAAGTAGCAGCTGTGTTGTTCTTCAGCTGCAGCTCTGTTTGGTCAGCTCCTCCCCCAGGAAAGGTGGGGCAATTCAGTTTCAATGCTGCCCTCTGTCCCTAGGTCAGCTCTGGGATCCACCTCCTGCCCTGTTTTCGAGATGAGTAGTTCGTTGCTCACACGATCCTTCTCTCTAGCCTGTGGCCTTCTCCTGATTCTCGTCGCGACACGGGTTGACCCGGTGTGGCTCCTCTAGATTGTGGTCTTGTTGGCCTGTCCCTGTTGTCAGCCATTTCTGCTTTATGGCATGTCACTGAGAGTTCAGTGCTGAGAGCTCAGTTCCTTGCCACACCCCTGACAGTTCAGCAGTAAAAGATGGGTCTTTGCCCCTCCCCTGTTCTCCTGGGTGGGTTCAGTGTTTATGTTTTTCAGTTATATTGCGTGTGTGTGTGTGTGTGTGTGTTCAGTTTGCCCAGGGGCTGTGCTGGATTATTTTCCCTGGGTATGTTGGCGTGGGTGGGTGGCTGGGGAGCTGCACGTGGTGCGTGATGCTCACCTCTTTCTTCTGCATTTGTTGTTTTCAGTGTGGCGCACCATAGGGAGGCTTTCTGGGGCGAGGGGTCCACGATGTCTTAGGGTTTGACTCTGATTGATGCTCTGCCTTCTGCTTGTTGGGAGAAGAAAGAAAAGAAAAGAAAAACAAAGAGAAGTGGCCAGGGGCTTTTTTCCCAGGTCTGGAGGCTGGACACACCTTGCTGGCTGTGCCAGGCAGGATTATCATGGCTGTTAGGCACAATTAAAGACTGATTTAAGGGTCAGTCTTTGAATTTTATCTGTACCTTATGTGATGACGGTTAATATTTTAGTTAGAAGCAATCAGCATTACCCTAGTTTTGCTCCAGCATCTGAAGGAGCTTCCTGGAGTCATGGAGCTTAGGAGGGAGATCTGATTCCCCACCTTAGCCACCATTTTGTTCTCCCCACAATGTTACAATTTGAAGGCATAGTCAATTTTCAATTAATGAACCAACCACTCAGGCAATAGATATTTATTAATTTCTAGGCATATATTAGACTATATTAATAAAAACATGGTAAGAATCTACAATATAATTGCACAGATACAAAAATAAAGTCATCTATACAATGTGACTAAGAATATAGAACCCAAAATATCATCATACCATCTTCACAAAAACTTCCTATATAAAAGTTCTACATTATAAGCTTTAGAAAATATGACAGTTGTACTGAATATTTGACATTCAATCATCAAGGACATGGAAAATGCTCATAGGAATTTTCATTCTGAAATTCGTCACAAGGGATAAGGATTAATGTTCCGTGGTAGAGTATGAGCCTAGCCTGCATGAGGTCCTGGGTTCCATCCTCACCATCTCTTTCCCAAAAATGCTGGTCAGAAATACAGACACAAGGACACACGATCACATACTACATATAAAAATAATCTAGCAAAACATTTCAAAGACAATCTTGTCCTGCCTGGCATGATTTCACAGTGCTACTTGAGTGAGACCTGCCTAGAAAATGTGAATCCAGATAAGCAAGTTGACTAATGCTAAAACTCTCCCTGCCTTCAGTTATAGTTTGTTTTTTCTTCTTTTTGTGGTATGGGAAATTGAACCCAGCACTTCATGCATCCACAGTTACCACCTACACCCCCAAACCTTTTTAAGAAAATCTTCATTTGAGTTTGTGGAAGGGTTTTGTTCAGTTTCCCAGGCTGGACTCCAACATGCTATATAACCCAGATTGACCTCAATCTTGTGGTCCCCTGACTTAGGTGTGTCCACCATGCCTAGCTTAGTTATAGCCCTTAAATTATTCATGCAACATTACGATTTTTCTGGTTGATATTTGCACTGTTAAAATGATACTGTTTTTTTTCTTCTGAAATAAAAACATATTTTCTGGAAAGACTATGTGTCACTGGCCACATCAACAATGAAACTCTCTTTGTTTAGGATTTCCTAGAAACATCCCCTACTCCAATTCTCTGGGAGATGGCATATCTTCCCAGAACATTCCTTAGAGCTACAGCCACATCTTTATTCCTCAGGCTGTAGATGAGTGGGTTGAGCATAGGGGTGAGGATAGTGTAGAATGCAGACACTACTTTATCTTTCTCTGGGTGTGGTAGGAATGGGGCAGCACATTGGTATAGAAGGCAGCCCCGTAGAAGATGCTCACTACCATAATGTGGGAGGAACAGGTAGCGAAGGCTTTGTGCCTGCCCTCAGCAGAACTCATGCGATGGACAGTGACAAGGATGCGTGTGTAAGAGACTGAGATGACGGATACAGGCATGAGCAGCATCAGCACACAGCAAGCATACATCAAGTTCTCATAGAGTGACGTATCTATACAGGACAGCTTCAGCATGGCAGGGATCTCACAGAAAAAATGATTGATCTTTCGTGACCTGCAGTAGGGGAAGCTCATGGTGACAGGTGTCAGCATGAATCCATCCAAGGAGCCACCAACCCAGGAACTCAGCACCATGAACAAGCAAACCCTGCGATTCATGAGGACAGGGTACCGCAGAGGATTGCACACAGCCACGTACCGGTCATAGGCCATGTGGCCAAGCAGGAAGAATTCTCCTCCAATCAGGATCAGGTAGAAGAAGATCTGAAATGCACAGCCCAGAAAGGAAATGGTCTTTTCCCTGGACAGGAGGTCTTGGAGCATCTTGGGGACTATGATACAGATGTAGACCGTGTCCATGATAGCTGGCAAAGCAAGAAGTACATGGGTGTATGGAGGTGGGAGTCCATGTGAATGAGCAGAATCATGACCAAGTTGCTGCTATAGCCACCACAAAGATGGAGAAGATCACTGCAAAAATAAGACCTGGGAATGCTGGATACATGATGAGGCCCAAGAGGATGAAGTCAGTGGAGTTCTGGAAAATGGCCTCCATGTCCATGACACAGTCCTTGAGCTGACTGTAAAGATGGAAAGTTGGTCGGTTAACTAATTACCCAATGTTGAGAATCACTCACTGCTGTAGGTCAAGTGATAAAGCACTAGCCTAGCAAGTGCCAGGGCCTGGGTTCAATTCCTGGCATTGAAAAAACTAACATGGGATAAAGGAAAGAATATTACTTCAGAATCCTTTTGAATCTTAGCTTAACAATATTGATTGATTTGACGTTACACAAGTAATGTCAATTTCATTGTTTATTACAGCTCATCATAAATCTATACAGACTGGATGTGAAATGTATATGTTTTAATTCATATAATACTTCCTTTAGAATCTGCATTAGCTTTATTTGGAGCCATGTTCTACATAATTTGCTAATCTTATCACACTAGGTTGAAAGTTTCATAAGGCTAGTGACTGTTCCTTATCCCCTGTATTGTCTCTTATTCAATCAATAGAGATGGGTTTACTTACATTAAAATGCTCTCTGCCATAAAGATAATCACTTTGTTATGGTCAAAGTTTTAATTTTTTGGCTACTGTATTTCTAAACAACTCCATGTCCATGACAACAGTCCTTGAGCTGACTGTTAAAGATGGAAAGTTGTCGGTTAACTAATTACCCAATTTGAGAATCACTCACTGCGTAGTCAGTGATAAAGCACTAGCCTAGCAAGTTGCCAGGCCTGGTTCCATTCCTGGCATTGAAAAAACTAAACATGGAAAGGAAAGAATATTACTTCAGAATCCTTTTGAATCTTAGCTTAACAATATTGATTGATTTGACGTTATACAAGTAATGTCAATTTCATTGTTTATTACAGCTCATCATAAATCTATACAGACTGGATGTGAAATGTATATGTTTTAATTCATATAATACTTCCTTTAGAATCTGCATTAGCTTTATTTGGAGCCATGTTCTACATAATTTGCTAATCTTATCACACTAGGTTGAAAGTTTCATAAGGCTAGTGACTGTTCCTTATCCCCTGTATTGTCTCTTATTCAATCAATAGAGATGGGTTTACTTACATTAAAATGCTCTCTGCCATAAAGATAATCACTTTGTTATGGTCAAAGTTTTAATTTTTTGGCTACTGTATTTCTAAACAATGTCTGTTAATCTGAAAGTAACATTGAAGGTTAACAAGGCAGTAATGCTGACTCCATTTGAGGGTCAGGGTCCATGTTGTCCTGTGGTCAGATGCTGGTTGCAAAGGAGGTTTATGTTTGAGGCATATCTATTTGTTCTCACAGAACAATTTAGGATCCAGTTTATCCGATGAGAATTATCAAAACTCTGCTTATCAAGCAGGTCTTTGGGTTTATCACGGTTCTTGTTGGCACTATGAAAAATGCTGGAATAATTACCAGCAAGTACTGTCTTTATGTCTGTTTTGCCTTTCAGGAAGCTCACTTTCATCCCTGATACTAATTATCTTTCTCGGTTGTTCTGTAAACTTTAATTATATGAAGGGTAATATGTGATCTGAAAACTATTAATTTTACTTATTATAATTACAATGGAATAAAAGAAACTGTGATTGCCAGTGATCACAAACACCAAGTAAAAATAAGAAATTAAGTGACTTAAAGCTAATAGAATTGACATAGCTGATGAATTTATTGTCACTCAAAAAATTCTGACATTGTAGATACACAAGTGCCTGTTTATGTACTGACACATGACAACAAGCTTGCTTATGACAATAAGCAAGCAGTTAAATTAAAATCTGCTTTATGAACAAAGCATCACCACATAATCACCTGTCAGGACACCACAGGGGGGCAAGGGAGATCAAGCCCAGCGTGGAGGACACTGTAGACTGGGATTTCAATTTCTGGCATCTGCAAGCTGAGCTTTAGTGGAAAGGGTGGCAGAGTTTGGTGAGAGGCATAAATATAACCTGTGATCTGCCCTGATGTGATTGCATATGAGATCATCCTGACAGACTTCCCTGGGTACCCAGGATTGCTATAACTGTGAGAAGGAAGCTGCCAGTGTCCTTCCTGTGGCAGAAAGCCACATTCAGAAGTGATCCCTTCCCTAGGCGACTGACTATTCCTCTTATGTTTTCAAAGGGCAGATTCTCCACTCCACACCCCAAGTGCAAACAAATACTTTCTATGTTCTGAGCACTTTAACCAGCATTGTGTGAGCTACAAAAGATTCAAAGCAACGACTCTACCATTCAGGAATATACAATATAGTTTGATACATCCAACCTATACTGAAAATACCTAAGAAAGCAACTTGTTGTAAACCTTACATGGGGATTTCTAGAAAAAAATGTATTTTGTGAATTAAATTTATCTTTAGCAACAGTAATAAGATAAAAGTAACAATTCACGTGTGGTGTACTGTGTGGAATTATAAAACTTACCTAGGAATGGCAAGCATCCTTGTCTTTCCCTGGACCAGTTTTCTTCCACTTAAAGAATGAAACTATACCATTAATCAGAAATACCACAGAGCTCTAAAAGTCATGATTATTTATTTCTGAAAGAGGAAAAGTAGGCCAAGGCTGGCATATTGGTTTATTTCTGCTTTGGATAAAGGTTGTTTTTTTTTAAAGGGCAGATGTGAAAGGCACCAAGAGATGTAGAAAGACAAATGAAAAGTTCCAGTGCAGTGTCCCCAGACCAGAAAGAACAAATAGATCTAGCCAGTTAAAAGTGCCCAGCACTTTTGATGCTTTGTATACTGTAAGACACCAACCCTAGTATCTGCCAGGACACTTACAATAAGAGCTCAGTTTCTACCTGAAAAACATGAGATGTTTATTAGAACATTTAGCTATCAGCTGCTTTGGAAATAGCAGTATGGCTTATGAGCCAAGAGAAGACTGGAGTTGGGTAAGTTGGGCAAACTGTGTCACCAGAGGAGGAAATTGTTCCAAATTAAAAATTGAGACTTAAAAAAGGAGAGAGAACTAGCTCATGGCTGCTTTAATTACTGCCAGGAAAGGTCTGTAAACAGGCATTAGCAGGTGGGTATGATAGGAGGGAGGGAATGTTTAGTCCAACAAAAGCTGAAAAGTACCTTGGAGGACTGTAGGGTATGGTGCAGAGGAGGCTGGATATTGAAGGCTGGGAGACTGACATTCAATGTTATCTAAAAATTGGGTTTAAACATGAGTTGTTCCAGCAGGAGATAAAACTGATAAACCTGTCATTTAAGAAAAATGTAAATGGCAGCTTTAAAGTCTTGAAAATAAATGTCGCCAATATTAACCACCACTAAGTGTTTTATTAAACACAATTGGTGTGCCCACTTCTTTTCTTCTCTTTTTATTGTTGCTCTACACCAATACTCCTCTGTCCATGCTTATGAATTAGGAGCCAATTTGGACAATACTTTAGACATTAAATAATCAATTGTATTTTATTCCCTACTTTCTATGGTAGCTTAGTATGCAATGGTGTAAATTGGTCTCTTTCCTTTCACCTTGTCTCTAATTTTCATGATCAAGCATTTCCAGGTACCTCCCTCAGCATCTCTATTTGAATGGCAACCAAATTTTGATTTCCCCTAAAGACACCCACAGTCAATTTAGAAATTTTCAAAGTTGAAAACTAAGCACAAAAGTGATAGAAGAGACTTTCTTTACTTTAGAAATTAACACTGTAGTGACATGTGGGTAATATTTATTGAATCTTTAATATGTAGTTCAGTAGGAAGACTATGAGTTTTAGTGTCATGTGCCAATTTATCTGAAAAATATTGCTAAGGATATCATCAGTAAACAAGAAAAACAAATTTGTTTGTTTGTTTACAACCTCCCAAACAAAAAACAAGTACCTCTGGATTCCTGGGTTCTTGGGCAAAGGTGTAAATTCCAAGCTGCAATTTTACAACTTCCAGAAGGAGGACTGACTGCTGTTTTCATCCACATAAATATGCTTCTGAGCACTGTATCTCTTTGTGTGGTGCAATAGAAATCAAAGGATCTGGCATAAGGTCCATCTAGCCCACACCACTAGTGCCATAGAAGGAAATGGAAGGTGAGAGCAGAAGTGATGGGGTGAGGAGTGAAGCAGAGACCAGCACTCTATACATACTGCTCACAATTGCTTCATGAAATCTAAGGTTGCCCCATGAATGTCACCGCACTCTGCCTCAGTCACAGTCCAACAGGCTTCACACACAATACTAGGATGCCTTCTAGAAGGTTTTTTGATGAATATTATGTTTACAACACAAGTTTTGTCTTGTGGCACATGTGTATTTTATTTGAGAAAGAAAAATAGAAGAGGTTTAGGAAGCGTTGAAAATGAAAAGACAGCATTCAACTCTGGGGTTTGAACTAAGGGCTTTGTGATTTTGAGGCAGGTGCTCTACCATTTTAGCCCAACCTCAAGGCAAGCATTCAACTTCTAAATATCCTCTAAGCACACAGAAAGCCTTCCTCATACCTAATTATTTATAAAGATGGAATCCTTTTTATTAAAATTACTCAAAAGCAACCCATGCTCCTCCATTAAGACTATACATACTTGTGCCTACACATTAGCATCTAAAAAATACTTCATAATGAGAATTAAGCATGCTTAATTCAGCTCTCACTTCTCTTTTTCTCTTTCAGTAACTCCATTTAGGCATTGCAAGCTGTGACCAGATTTTCCTTATCCTCAATTTTCAAAGTAGCTATTCCGTTTTCAGTGGTCTGCTTATGAAACAGTTCATGTATGCATTCTTTTCTCAGTTTCAAAAAGATCAGAGCCTCAGTTGTTATCCGACTGCAGGGTGGCCTTCTAATAGTTACAGAGTTGTACCTAAAGAAAACATCCCAGTATTTGTGTAATGTTCCCTTGTTTTCCATGAAAATCTAAGATCTTACCTTGTAAATCCAAGCCTTGGTAAGTCAGCAGTATGATGGCAGATTTCTTAAATATATGGGTATGGAGGTAAAGCTAAATCAAAAGAAACTTTTCACTAATAATGGTTTTCCACAACCCTCAGAGGAATCTCTCAGTTATTAATTAATCCAGACTAA